CAGGGAAGGCCTCGGCTGCTGCGATTCGCACACAAACGCTCACCTTTGATTTTCAGACGTTCACTTACACTCCAATGAGTACCAAGTGCATCCGAATGCAGCGCTGCTTGCTGGTAAGGCTAAGGTTGGAACGTAGGCATACAAGTTGTTTGCCAGAAGCCGCTGCATCGCATAGGACTCAAAGCGATCAGAGAAGCTCCTTATTTCCGTCATGAGACTATCGCACATAAGCAAACCACGCACATTTCAATTCTCTGTCATTGCTGACGAGTTGCTGAAGGTTTTCCAAAAGAGTGCCATCGTAAGTCTTCATGCGCAGGCCAACATTGATGCGGTAGGCCACCATGTAAGTGGTGATCAGGTCCAAGGCAACGTTGAAAACACAGGCGAAGCAGTAGAGCAGCATGTAGCACACCTCCCGGTCATCCACGTAAATAAATCGAGTGCGGTCCGCCACTTCGCTGCAAACCAGGTACATCAAGGCATTGCCGGCCACAACCACCATGGAGAAGGTCATGCCTGCAACAAAGCCGGGCTCCTGGCCGTAGGAGTAATTGAAGGTCAGGGTGAACCAGGCGTAGGGCAGGTAGAATGCCACCACCCACAGCGACAGGCCTGCCAGCATAATTAAGAAGCCGAAACCAATTCGCTTGGCCTTGACCACGACGTCGGTGTTGGCACAGTTCCTCCAATTCACAGTCTGCGGCTCCACCCGAGACGCGTTCAGGGTGATGGTGTTTCCGGCAAACTCGATGCCACCACTCTGGACAGCAGCCTCAACTGCAGTGTCACGTGCGGTCTCAGTCTCAAAGATGGCATAGGCGTCAGGGCAGGTCTTGATGCTCTTCAGGATGTCCTTGGTCGTTCACTGGAAACTCTTCACCCTGCAGACTTGACAGTTCTGTGGCAATGCAGCCTCGCCACAATAACGTCAACCTCCTGGCAAAGCTTGTTGGCAATTTTGCTAGCAGCCGTGAGTGGGTACCCTTGTTCCCTTGGGCAGTCAATGCAACTTCTGGTCCCATGCCTGCATGCAATTATGGCCAGTGCGGTCCTTGCATTCTTCTACATGCTCCTCCTCCGGATGAGCAGCGGCATCCCTCCTGGCTTGCTCCTGCTCCTCCGGAAAGAGTCGGGATGAATCTATCATGTGGAGAATGCCCAGCCCATGACACGCCTTTCTGTGCTTGTCCCGCATAGGGCTTTCATTCATAACACGAACACAAGCTGCGAAAGCTGAGACTTTAAGCTTGAGATGCTGGGGTGTGAGAGCACAATGAGTGGGGCAGCACGGCGCCTAAATGAGACCTGATTTGCAGGCAGCTTAGACCATCAACTCGGCACTGAAGGGAGCCTCCGCAGACATCTCGCCTTTTGCCACGACCTCCACTCGCTTGAGCTTTCAGTTGAGGACGGGGTGCATTTTGAAACAAGAGCAGCTGCCTTCTCAGCATCCGCTGCCAGCATGGAACGCTCCATCCGGGCGAAGAAGCTCTCAGGCTCAGGCTGCTCTTCCTCACCTCATTCTTCAGGCGCTTTGGAGGCCCAAAGTCGGGTCACGAGTCTAACTAGCGAGGCATCCTGATGACAAAGGCTCCACATTTGGCATGGCTTCTCTGAACAGACGGAGGCACTTGCGGGTGCAGGGTGCAGCCTCTCTTCCTTCTCGACCAGCTTGCTCTCGATGAGCTGAGGCAACACAACAGATGCTGAAAGGTTCAGAATGTTCAGAATGGTCAGCATATTGAGCATGTGCTGCCTCCATGAGCTCATCCTCGTACTCCTGAAAATCCCAGCAGACAGACACCCCGACCACCTGACAGGGCGGCGAATGACCACTGTTTGCTGTAAATTAATTGCTTGAACATTGTTCTCTTCATCAGGACTTAGGTCTCCCCGAGGCCTTCTGACCAGTAGCGTCCTCAATGCGCTTCTTGAGCTCCTCCTCCACAGGCTCCGTGCCGTCCATCAGCCTGGAGTGAGGGGGGACATCCGAGCCTTCGAACTGACTGTCTAGACAAACTGAGCAGCGGAAGGTTGCGCACTCGGGCAGCGTAGTCCTTGTGCGTAGAGTTCTGCATGTCCACCTGCAGCAGTGGGGCCATTTTCTAGAGAGGTGCTCTTCGAGAACGTTGGATCAAGCTTTTTGTGAGAGTACATGGAACCTTCTGGAAGATTCGCAGCTGACGCACGCCGAAGGCCAAGCAGCCCAAGAATGTCAGGATGTAGGCGCACACCTGCCCAGCAGCAGCATTGCAAGTGCAAGCAAGTGGCTCAAAGCCACACTTGGCACATCTTTGCACAAGATCAACCTGCAGTTCATCGTGCCTGTTCCATCCTAGCCACTAATGCTTGCAGAAGACCTCTCACTTTACATCTGCATCCCTTAAACCCTCCACCACAATATGAACCCGCCACGCAATTTGAGGGTATCTTTCAACATCCCACCACGAAGTCGATCTTCGTCCACATGAGGCGCTGCTGCGTCTCAAAGCCCCAAGCCACCTTGACACTCCAAGCTGCAAGCACAAGCTGAGTCATGTAACGGATGTTAGATGCTTCACGGCACAACGCAAAATCAATTGCAGATTCACAAGCGCTTCTCTGCGCGTCACTGGGTGTTCGCTCCACGCCAGGCAATCGACACTGTGATTGCACACGGGCCAAAAAACTGAGTATCGGACCAGGATGCAGTTCTGGCGAGCAGTCTTTGCGCGCCGAGTTCCGAGAATGAGCAGAGCATCATCCACTGAGAGTGCAAGAATCAGCCATGCCAAACCGATGGCCAGCGACCAGACAATGAGGAAGAACCTTGGCCGCAATCCACTTACCATACCTGTGAAGTGATTTCCTGCGGTCTGCACTTGACGATGCTTCAATTCAAGAAGCTGGAAGTTGAAATGGAGCTGCACACCGATGCCGGCCACGGGAGTCTTGAGCAGGTTGGTGTCCAAAGGGTAGAGCTCCCGTCCTTCATCGGAGCCCGACTGCTTTGGCATGCGCACCTCAACAACATTGTTTCGCGACTGCGGTCGTCAACGCAGTTGCAGCACACACACACACACACACATCTTCCTGCCTTGGATCGCGAACGAGCATCCAGTGCACCTTTCAGCCCTTGAGCGTTGACAATGGGACGGCGCGCAATGTCAACGATCCAGCCAACAATGAAGAGCGCAGCGACACCAAGCACTGCGAAGAGCGCATACCAGTAGTACCTAAACGAGTTGCAGAAGTTGACCTTCTTCAAGAGGCAATCAAACACACTCAATTGGGCCGAGGTGCGTGTTGGTGCTCTCGCACTTGCCAGCCGCATTCACTTTAAAGCCAGATTCGCAGACAGCGCACGTGTCTTGGCCCTCGGTGGTGCAGGTCTTGCAGCCGTAGATGATGCAGGCTCGGCAGATGCCGCGCTTGGCGTCGGGGACTGGCTCCTTGGGGTTCACCGCGGTGCACGCCTGCAGGCAGGGCTCGACAGGGCTCTTAGGAATGAAGATTCCATGAGAAGATTTAATATGAGAAGAAAGGCTGGCTGACTTTGCCTTAGGAGTTGCTTCCACGCACTCAAAGTTGCAGTCGATGCCATCTGCTCGGTCATCCGCATAGATTGGGCACTCCGACGGGCACTGCAGGAACCTAAGAATTTGATGGTTGGTCTGAGCTTTGCAAGTCAAACAAGACTGGCAGGCAGGATGTGCAGCGCGTGCTTGCCCCCATGCAACACACTCTTGGTGCAAGCTCGGTGCTTGTCATCACTGGATCCCACAACCTTCTTGTCGTGACACTTCGGGGGGCTCGCAGCAGTGGAAAGGAGTAACGCTTGTGAGGTGTGGCTCGCCTGACTTGGATCGGTAATTGCAGCACACGCTCACCGCAGCACACGCTCACATATGAAACTGCCACGTAAAGTTAATTACAGTAGCAGGGACCAATGGAAACCCCAAGGCGCAATTCCCAAGCATGCTGGATGTGCCAAGTTGCATTGACCGAAAGGGGCATATCCACGTTGAGGGGCCGGCTGAGTGTGTGGAACTTCCCAGCCGCGGCCAAGCTGAAAATCGCGTTCAGCAAAGTCAACTGCATTGCGACGGAAATTGCTTCTGAGAGAAAAGCGAAGGGACTGAGCCAGAGTTGGCTTGTTGTCTCTAAGTTGCTGCCAATGGCGGCTTGAGCCAAAAAAGACATCGACTTTGCATTGCCACAGCCCTAGGCCCTCGGAGCGCCAAAGGCAGAGGAATGCAAGTGGAGTATCTTGGCAACACCCCCTCACATTACAATCGGAGCGAGCTCAAACGCAGTGAATGTATATACATATACATATACATATACACACATATATACATAGATGTATATACATCTGCACATACATTCTTGTATTTATCATTTGTGCGATGTATATGTCTGTTTCTATATCTTTCGGTGCCGGGGCGCCAAACTTCTTGTTGGTCGGGACACCATTACCACCGCCGCCTGCCGCACCTTGTGGCAGCATGATCCCCGCAAGGGGAATGAGAAGCCTTCGAGTAAGCCGTGAATGCAAAGTACCTTTTGAGTACTTGAAGGCTTTTGAGTTCAACCAATTTCTGCAAAACACCAAATTCTAAGCATTTACACAAGCCGCAGCTGGGAAAGCCGTGCCTCCACTCTTGCCTTTTGCGCCCTTCACAGCAGACTTCCCCTGCAGCAAGCGATGCTGACGGGTTGGAAGAGGGAGCGCGCGTTCTGGGCAGCCTGCCTGGTTTGCTTTCTTTTTGAGATTCTGTTTCTTGACCTTCGCCATGACGACATGAGGCGACGGATGGGCGGTCACATCTCGAGCCCACGCTGCTGGAGGAGGGAATATATGGAACAAGTCATCAATGCGGCTGCATGGCTGGTGCACTCATAGATCTCCAGTATTCTCCGGTGCGAGTTCAGAACCCTTCTTAAAAGTCACCACCCATGGTGAGCAACCCCTGAAAAACTCACTTTGATAGGGGTACAATACACCCTCTACCAGCCTTTCGGAGTTGACCGGTTGCTACCAGCAGTTCGCGAGGTGCGTTGGGTCCTTGGTCACCCAGACACCAACAGACCCATCAGACAAGCAACAGCAATTACCCGCGTCTTAATTGAAGGCTTGGTTGTACTGACCGTGAGGTGCCTAGCAGCTTAGCATCCCTGAGTCACGCTGCCTCAGCAGCAGTGGGAAAAGTGTGCTGTGCGACGAGACCCGGGCGGCATGCCCAGGTCACCCCCGGCACCTAGGCCATCACCTACGCGGTAACCATGCAGCTTCCAAGGTTCTGCAAATCGTTCAAATTAGACGGAACTGGGCACATTCCGAAACCGCCGAACCAATCAAAAACACAGCATCACTGTCTACTAGCACTGCTCACAGACGGTCGGCCTGCGTCAACTCGGTCAAACTCCTCGTCAAAGATCTCCCGCTGCGCCTGTTCGTCTTGAGAAAATGCGGAGGACTAGCCTGAGATTCTGCAGTCTGAGCTTGGCTGGCCTTCACACAACCCTTTTCTCTGCTTAGGTGAACATTCAAAGATGCACGCCGCAAGCCACCTGCCGCAGGTTCGCCAGGTACTTTTCCTTGCATGTCGGCAGCACGCTACGGTGTGCTACTGCACGTGATGGCTAGAAGCTTCTCAAGCCATGTGTGGTCAGCAGACCTGCTCTCCGCTGAAAAGTCACAAAATGCAGGCATAAACTCATGCAAGCTGCGATGCGGTTCAAGCCAGCGTGCGCATAGCAGGCAGCTACCAGCTTGACTGCCTTGGATCTGGAAGCAGCACATCTACAGCAAAGGCCGCAGAAGCCCACTCCGCGACTGAGCTCGGCGCACTTTCTCTGACATCGGCGTTGGCATTGCTGAACCTTGGCATGCACAAGATGACCACTGAAATTGCCAACAGCAACGAATTTTGAACAGAGAGGAATGAAGTCCTTCTCGACGACCCTCGAGACTTACAAGGAGCTCGTGTTATCCCTCACAACTATGCAGGGCAAGGTACGAAGCAGCAAAACTGGTAGCTCAAAGGTCCACGTGAGGGCGGCACCAGTCCATAGCCAGTTGTACCGTTGGATCCAACGGAAGCCCTTCTTTGCTCTCTGGCTGGATGCCTGCCTGCAGAAAGGAGGTACTGAGACTCCGCTCCGTCACAAGTGCCGTCCTCCCAAGTTTTATCAAACCTTTGCTAGCCTCCGTGACCATGCTGGTGAGCAGCTGCATCCGTGAGATATAGACCTAGGCCAGAGCGGGCAGCGTTTTGAGCGGGCAATCGTCTTCCAAAGGCTTGAAAACCTGGTCATGTCCCCCAAGCTCCGTGCGCGAGGGTTCACAGATTTCTTCTTTGGCGGCCTGCCGACAAAACCAAAGATGCGTGCTGCCACTAGAAGCACGCATGTAAGAATCCAGGACCTAGAAAATATTTATCCCCAGGCAGCCTGCCTGAGCAAATACTGGGCTGTGAAGGTGGCACCTTCAACATGCTTCAACATGCTTCCACGTTCCCGAAGCAAGCAAAAGATCATGAAAGTAAGCACTGAACCGACAGTAGCGCAGCGCATGAGGTCGCACAGGTGAGCATCCCTGGCTACAGCATATTGTTTCAATCGCGGCTGCTGGTCCCGAGCTGTGCAGAGTACACGCAAGGATGCAAACGAATACCATGCTAGAAAGTGCCATGTGTGCAGGGGCCTTGCTGCCTTATCCACACGGGCCTCGGTGATACTTGGGATCAGGCCAGGAGCCAACCATCGTTCCACCATGCTGTCCAAGCATCTGCACATGCTGCTTCAACAATCCTTTTCCCAGCCTCCAAGCTTGCGACAGGTCACACTCTCTGAGCAGCGCTCCCTTATGGAGGTGCCAAGATGATATAGCGTCGTGCAGCCATTTGCTTTCGTTACATGCTTCATCCCGATACGTGAATGGATGCGGACGTCTGCGAATGCTTCAGTCGAGTACACGTGCTGATGTTCCGGGTATGGATCTATTCAAGACCTTTGTTGGAGAACTTCCTCCGGCGCACGGATGTCCTGTGTCTCGACTGCCTGCCGTCCGGACCGCAGTCGCCTCTGCAAATCCAGGATCTTGACTCCCAACTCAAAGTTGAGGAACTTCAGGATCCTGCAAAGTAGGCTTGCCTGCGTCGGACACACGAACCACTCCCTGGAAGCGCCGGGAGGGTCCTGGATTCATCAACGCCCTGCGACATGGAACGGTCTTCTTCTTGATCGTCAGAGAGGACAGGTCACCGCTCCAGGACTCCGCTCCAATCAATTTCACGACCCAAAGTAATTCCCCCATGCTCGCACCTTTCGAAACGTCCAAAGACCCCAAGGATGCCACCTCAAGGTGGGACCAGCCAGGTCGGTCAAGTGCGGGTGGGAGAAGCGTAGATCACCACATTCTTGCCACTGAACTGTAGCTCCTGCACCTGCTCTCAAATTTTACGTGAATTGGAATCTGGATTGGTTCTGAGACAAATAAGCACTAAAATTTACGTGATGTTGAATCGTGCTGGTCCAGCCTTGGCGTTCTCTCCACCGAGCCATGTCAAGTATTCGATGAGCTCAGTGAGGGCTTTGACAGGTCTTCCATCAGGCAAGCGCCGCTTTGGGAAATCTTCGGCATATACCTTGGACGGTCTTGGACGCCAAACTGCCGACATGGCCAATGCCCGGTGCCAATGCCTCGTCTAAGATCAGGCTCAATTCTTTGGCCCAGCAGCACAACAGGGCACCACTGCGAAGGCAAGGCCGTGCCTCAACTGTGTGTGCTTGTGCACATACCTATCTATATACGCAGACATTTGCACCCCAAGACAAATCAAGAATGGCTTGTGTTGCAAGCTTAGAATAATGTACGACTGACAGCTTGGACTCCCAGCTTACCCTTTGTGACAGACACCAACAGACCCCTTCCTCTGGTTGTGACACTGCCCTGTGATGATGGTGATGGTGATGATGAGAGTAATGATGATAGTGCTGGTGGTGATGATGAGGGCAGTCATGATGATGACGAAGATGATGACAGCTCAAAGTCACAGATTGAACAGCTCTGTTCGACAAAGTTCAACGCTGTGACCATGAAAAAACTCAGTGAACCCAACAAAACACGCATACTTACAGGTCAAGGCTCTCTACAGCAAACCGCACTGCAGCTTCAGCAGCTTGATCTGCATGTAGGGCAACCACACAACCTTGCGCGCGGCTGCAGGGCTACCTTTCAGTTAAGAAAGGTCGTCTGGCAAAGCTCGGCTGCATCTGGCTAGCAGGCTTTGCTTCACAAATCTATAGAACTTGCCTTTGCTTCTGGCAGACTTCCAGGATATCAGAACTCAGCCCAGTAGCTGCAGTCTGTGCAGAGCCGCTGAACCATCGCAAAAGATGGAGGCGCTGTGCCACCACCAAGTTCAGGCACACGGCCTGGAGCTTGGCAGATCTGCGAGCTCTCCGCGGGCACTCACTGCCAACAGCCCGACCTGATTCATCCAACTCCACTTCGCTGGGAGGGTCGTCAGCCACCTGAGCTGTTGCCAAATGCCTAAGGCCTAAAAACGGCTTCGGAATGCCAGCCAGGACACAGGCTCACCCTGTACCGGGAGAGAGTTGTCAGCAGCGCCTGTTGCGGGTGGCTGCATTGACCATCTTGCAAGACGCAGTGGCTCGAATCATGGATCCGAAAAAACCCACCTTCTTCTCCCAAGTCTTGCCAAAGTGCAGACTGTCGGAAAGGCACGCCTTTCTCCAGGTAGGCCTCTTGCATCTCTCACAGATCATGCATATTCACCTGTGAGTGCAGCTGAACGGCAGGACCAAGGCAACCGATGATCTTGGATGTTGTAAAGTTGATGCCATGATAGAAGACTGTTTGTGCAGCACTCTTAAATTGCGGGAAGTGATTTGGCTTGGAGCAGGCGGAGCCTCATTGTCGTGGTCAGCCTCAGCGAGTCCCTGCGAAGACCAGCGTACCTGCAACGGAAGTAAGCGTCTGTGCCCTCTGTGCCGAAGCTTACCAACAAATCACCCACACACTTGAAGCTCACCCACGGCACGGATTCACTGGCTCAACTGGAGGGCACCTCGCGCGCGGCCGCCCAGGCACGGCCAAACAGTCGTGGATCCTGCAGACGCACACGACATCAAGCCTAAGCACCAGTTCATACCTGTAAGCAGGATTGACGAGTCCAGTCAGCAGTAACTGTCGCGGCCTTCCAAATGCCTTGATGCCAAAAGACCCGTAAATGGCGTGGCGCCATAATCTTTGCGCTGCGACCTGACTATGTTCAGCAAAGAAGGCTGCTACATGGCTGGCGCAACCTGAGTTTCCTGCAAGTTGGTAGCGAGGCGGCATCCTCGACTTCAAAGCCTTCGGGTGCTCACCGAGTCGAGAGCAGAAGGCAGTGAACATGTGACAATGCGAATGCTTTGCCACAAAGCCAGCGTGCGCTGCAAACTGTCCAGGAGGCACCCTCAGATGAAAATATCCAGAACGTCCCTCCAGCGTGCCTTCTGCACGTGCTAAGGCAGATTCAGCAGACCACTTAAGACGCTGATAACCTTCCGTTGTCTGAGCTGCATGCATGCGCTCAAGATGCTCAAGGGTACGAACGGAAAGCCAAGACACCAACGCTGGCAGCAACTGCACTAGCAGACTAGTCGCACACCAAGTCCAGGCCAGCAGCATTTGCGAAGGTCCAAGCACCGCGGCTCAACAGCTGTCACCGGAATGCCATAGCCTGAGAAAGCCAACATCTGCAAGTGCCAGCATCCCTTGCAGGGGCCTTTTTTTGCGCAAGAACCCAAGAAAACGAAAGGAAAGGCAGGCTGCGATTGCGAAGGGAACATGCCAGCTCGCCTTTGCCGGCTGAGATTTCCAGAAGACCTGCTGCAGAACACAAAGGGCAAGCACTGATCAATGGTTCAAGCCCCGTCAACCCTGATTATTTGCGCATCTTGTTGGACCATGGATTTGCGGAGCGCCTGAGCCTCCACGAAGGAATTCAGTCCCAAAGGTTTCCACAAGCCACCTTTGCGCGCTAGGCTATATCGAGGCACCCAGTGAGCAAGCGATGTCAGCGATCAAGATGAGCGCGCCGCTTCATAAACACATACGAAGCTCCCCCTCGTCGCCGGCTGCGCTGCTGAAAGCGGCCCACGGGTACTGGGCTTTCCATGGCCAGGCTGCAGCCAAACTGTCAGGTAGAGTAGAACGAGCAGCAACCAATTGATGTCCAGTAGAAGCAAGTCTCACAGAAAACTTTGAGCTGCATCTATGCTTTGCTGCTCTTGAGCCTTGAGCTTTGCCCTGTCGCACTCAATCGCCCACACGGCAGCAGGATGAGAGATGGCGTGACATCTGCTACAAGCATTGACATTCGCAGTTGATGTGCGTGTGATGCATCGGACCCGTTGAAGCGAAGCTTTGTACGTATATGCGTCCTGATGTTTTGCTGAGGCTCTACCATCTGAGCCCGGAACGTTACTGTCTCCCAATCGATCCACCAGCAGTGGCATGAGCGGGTCCAAAGCAACGTGCGCCTCTCCAAGGACACCATGCGATCGCACCACTTAGCTTCCTTCTCTCAGCCTCTCGGCCTCTCAGCCTCTCGGCCTCTCAGCCTCTCAGCCTCTGCATCTCCTGCCTCCGCACGCCGAGGCCCGGAGCGGCCCAGGAGTTCCTGGCAGACCCGTACCCACTGCCGGCTGCCAGATCAAGGCATGTAGACCGCAAGTGTGTCTGCATTCGCAGGCCTGGCAAACCGTGTGCAGCAGCGCTGCTGCAGCAAGAAACACCTTCTGGCAGACGGTGTGTGTTTGTGTTGACTCCGTAAAGATTGCTCCGGCTCCTGAACGTTTTTGTCCGGCACCATTCGCTTCAAGACTACCACATAGCCAGCCAGACGGCTTTGATCTTTCGACCTGGAGCAAATAGCACATCCTCTTTTTCTACACAAGGAGAATTCCAGCATCTTCCAAGTTCAGGTGACTGGTTCTCTGACTGCTCGCCGTTCAGGTCCAGTGTCAGCTTCTGCAGCGCTGCATCTCGCAAGCTCCATGCCTCACGCACAAGAAGCGAAACCTTTGCCTCACGCTTCCTTGAAAACTACCTGTTTGCTGCAGACGCACGCCGCCCAGCCTTGGAGTAGACGCAATTCGTCAGGTACTCGCCGAACAGCTCAATCAACGGCTCCGCTTCCTTTAGGAAGCTGCTGTTCAGCGGCTCTGGCTGGCTCAGGTCCTGCAATGGCAACCGTACGACTTCAAACTTTGGATGTCTAATGCGCAGCGGTGTGCGCAGGAAGGCTGCATGCAATGAGATTGCTTTCAAAACGCGCTACCCACACTCATGGAAGTGCACCGCTGAGAAATCCCCAGAAAGGGAATAGACTTCCAAAAGGGCCAGGATCAGATTCTCAAGACTCCACTTGCGCAGGAAGGCTCCGGGGATTCAACAATGGCTTCGAATCCCCGGAATGCATTTTTCAGATTGGTGCAAAAGCGAGATGGGGACCTGCTCAAAATGCAGACTGGCCGGCTGGCCTGATAGAAGAGCATACTCAAAAAAGAAGCTAAGCCTACGCAGCATACTTGTCTTGCATGAGGCTTTCTTGTTTTCAGAGCCCCAAGATCGTTCCCGCCTCCACGTTGGGCACGCCGCTCAGCGGGTGGTCCGCCGCGTCGAAGCCTGGGCCGCGCTCGGACAGCGGCGGCTGCTCGGGGGGCTGCTCGGGGGGCAGCTCCTTGGGAGCCTTGGAGCAAAGCATGTCCCCCCCACAATGCATCTCTTTACAGCATAGGCTCTCGAAACACCCAACATGCACACCCACGGATGTCTGTGTGACACACACGCAAAGGGAGACAGACACTGAGACAAACAGAGATATAGACAGCTAGAAAATGCTAGAAAGAGAGAGAGAGAGAGAGAGAGAGACCGTAACCAGATCGGTAGCTTATTCACGTGAGTATGACCCGAAACAGTTCAAGGTCAGATTGGATGTGTTGGGATTAGGGGACCACTGTGTGCCAACACGCTTCAACCTTCCAAAATGACAGCACGCGAACAGGCGCCCGACAGGTACCTGGTGACATGGATGGGAACAGCCAGCCATGGGCAACATGGACTCAGGATGCGATTGCGCTGCCTTCTGTGCCAACTGCTACGCAAACCAGTCCTGTATAGTCAAACCTGTCCACATTGCCCACCAACCATCCGCTCCACAGCTTGAGAATCTGATGGCACTTTGTTGCCAAATGTTGCCAAGTTGCGCTCCGTGCAGAAGCCACGCCCGAGAGGGGCGGCGTTCGCGCCACTCGCGCACCACCCGCCGCGGGCAACGGAGGAGAGTTAGCAACCTACGCAGAACTGCAAAACTGGCAAGCGAGAGGCAACATGAAGAGGAGTTCCGTCAGCACAAAAAACCAGAGGCCTCTCGTCGCGTGGCTTCAGCCTGATAGCCCTCCTTCTGGTAGCCCTCCTTCTCAGCTTTCATGGACGCATGTCCCTCACAGCCGCCTAGACACATTGAGGTACATGGCTGTCCGATACCCTGCATGCCTCTAATGGAAAAGGCGGCAAGCCCGGAGAGGGCGAGCGTTTTCCACGAGACGGCGGTGCGCCCGCCGCCTTGCATTGTCTGCAACTTTTTTGCATCTTTTCATGTCACACTCACTGCATCTACTGCATCCGGCCTCGGGCTCTGGGCCTAGCGGCGCCATCTGGGGCTGGTGCCCACCACGCGGTGCACAATGGCTGGCAAACTCTGGGCTGCCAGCGCCTGCGCCTTCAGAAACAACAAGGCTTGTTTGCCTGTCCGTGACTCTTTGCCATGCCGATCTCAGGCCGATGCGACTGTTTGGCCCAAGACTGTTGCTCCGCACACTCCTCAGGTGAGGGTACATCATAGGGATGTAGCTTGCGTCTTGCGTCTTGCCGGTGCAAACTTTGCTGTTCAATAGAACTCAAGAAGGATTCATCAAGTAAGGCCAAGACCTGCCGGAATGTGGTCTGTCTGCCCTAGGGGGTTCCGGCCGCTCGATCGCACTGCCTTGTCCAAACATCCAGCAGAAGGTCACAGCTTTTCAAACCTAACATGTTGCTGGCAAGAGACGCAGTCGATCGATCTCGCTTTTCAGCGCTTTGGCGGCATCATAATCTTCATTTTGTACAGCAGCCTTCTTTCTGTCCTGCCATCACAATTCTTGAACCATCGGCAACCAGTTCTTTCTCGTGCAAATGCCAGCACCCTGGACGCATGGTCCGCCGCCTCCAGTTCCCGGAGCAGAAGGCCAGTTTGGCGCAGCCTTGTCGTGGAGCATCCACCCAAGATTCACTGAAACCGAGATGAGTCTGAACGGGTTTTTGCCCCTATGGTTTCTGGCATCTAGTGCAGCACTGCATCTTTGATAATCATGGCACAAGCTTACCAAGTCCAGGATTCGGTGGCGAGCATCCAGCCCACAAATCAATCTAGGAGAGAAGGATTTGCGCGGCAAAGGCAGGTTTTTGATGTCACGCTACCCTAACCCATATACGCAATCTCGCGTCTCAGAGACCCCCTAGTCTGCAGGCATATGCACTGGTTTCAGCATGGCCTTGCGAGCATCTCCTTGCAACGCTTTGCCTTGCAGTCACTGGCACGACACAATTTTACAAGATCTCAACATGTTTCTGTATCATTCTCGCATCCTAGCTCAGCAACTGCAATGTAGAGCACTCTGATTTCCCCCAGACGAGAAACAAGAAGGTGGCGCTCCGGACTGTTAAAGCATCTTAGATCCTAGTGAAGCACCCACTACATCCGACAGCTGCAGCCTCCTCATAGTCCTCGGCGTCGACTGCCCTCGCCTTGCAGCCAGCACGCCACGGCTATGCTAAGCCACACATTGGCACAAGCCTTTGCGTTCGACAGCGAGCGGATTCGCTCTAACGTCTGCGAGTCGTAACGCCTGAGGCTAGCAGGCAGAAACAACCAATTGCAGAAGTACGAGTTTTGTTTTGCAAAGGCCGTCATGCCATGCGCAGCCGCACAACTATGAGCAATACGAGGCGACAATTGTGCCCGTCTGCCTTGAATCTAGCCGAGCCCCCAATGTCTGGTGGGTTGTCATCATTTGCCAAGGTGCATTTCGTCTGCAGCAGCCTGGGCACTATCCTGGAGTGGAAACACGCTCTATCTCGCTCCGTCCAAGTGAGGATGGCACACTTGTCGAAGTGAGATGAACACAGGACAAGCATTGACAAAATTGAAGCCATGTCAGTGCACCAACCATGTGTTGCACTAGACACCTTGCGTGGACACGGTTCCTGCACTGATGGCTGTGGCGGGGGCGGGGGCGACGATGCCTGGGGCGGCTGGTAGCCATCCGATGGCCTGGCTTCGCTTTTGATCTGGGGGCTTCTGGGGGTCTAAAAGAGCAACGCTGATGAACACCCAGCTCATTTGTTTTAATCCCTTTTAGCTTACGGTAAAGTCCTCAAGAAGAACAGCTAACTGCAAGGCCTCAGCTTGCAAATCCAAAACGCGTGTTATCAGTTCAGAGTAAGTGCTGCTGCGAGCGGATGTAGCTGTCTTACTCATCTACCAGCACTAGAAGCATCTGCCAGTAAGCCCTAGTACATGCGCTGTGAAGGTCAGAAACCGTCATGGCTACTGTGGTACATCTGAGGGAGCCCGGCCCCCGCGCCAGCGCTGGATTAGGCGGCGGGGGTCCCATCGCCAGGTCAGGCCTCGCTGAGCGGGCAGTAGAAACCCAGACCGGGCCCACTAATTGTCATAAGCCAAGACTTTGCATCTACCGGTCATGGAGATGCAAAGAACTGAAACATTGTCCAAGCGTCCCTAGCGCCTCGCCCAAACAGTTCAGCGCTATTAGGCCCACCTTATCACAAGCGGGTAGCGATCTCAAGTTTGAAGGTGCATGACGTCCGCCTGGTTCACAATGTTGTAGCGGTTGACATGGCACCTGCAAAATCTTATGGCTTGAGTCCGGGGCTGTCAAGGGCATGATAGGGCGGGGCAGCTGAGATCCACCTTGAAGTCTCCAGAAAAGCATCTGAGGTCATACAATTGCTGGTTTGTTTCTGGGCTTGCGAGCCAACATGGGGCATGGGATCCGCAAAAATGTTCTCAAACATGGCTAGACGTTATCACTGAACATGCTGCTGGGGCACTTGTGAAAAAGGATCTTCATGTACTGTGCTGAGACCTCCGCAAAGGATGGCAAAGGCTCTACAGCGAAAACCATCCGGTGCAGCAATCTCATCGCGCTGCAAACAGGCACTGCGGTGTGGCCACGACATGCCGCCATGCTCATGCCACAGCTGGGGCTGCAGCATCAACATACACCTGAAACAAATGTCATTACTTCCCGCGAAGACTTGTAGAAATGCCAGGCCAAATCTGCAAACCTCTTGTGTTCAATCGAGTCACGCTTTTCAGTTCCCGTGCTTGGAATTGGGAGCGCTCGTTGCTATCCAGCGACAGGTACCCTAACCTGCACAATCAGTGTCCACAAGGAGCTACATGGCAGGGATCACTGCAGTAGCAGCATTGGCTTCATCGAGTGTATTGTCACAGAAGGACACACAGAGAAGCCTTTTGAAGCTCACAGCATCGTAAGAGGACGCTTGGCCTGGCCAGGCGCTTCAAGTCATTTACCTCATTCCCCTTCACACCCCGAATTCCCTACGCTGATTGCGCTTCCACCGCTCTTACGACATTGCCTGCAGCAGGCAATGCAGTGTAGAGGTCGATCTTTGTCGCTATCCTCGGCTGGACTTTGCCCCGTCATCCGACTCTCCTTCACCACAACGATGAAACACAGTTGCGCAAGAATAGGTTCAGCTTTGGCATCGGCCCAGCGAACAATCATTACTTCATCCTACAGATGCTAATTGCGGCCAAGTTGCTTACTCTGATGGGATAAAAATTGAACCTGCACGCCATGCTCATGCTTTCAGATGCGTGCCACTACATTTGAGCTGCCTCAAAGTGTTAAAGCAGCGTCCACGACCAGAAAATGATAAAAACACAAGTCAGTACAAACTAGGGCGCTGTGCATGTGTTTAGGATTAGCAGAAGCCACATTGATGCGCCTGCCGAAGGTGCACTGGCGTCTCAAACTGTAGGCCTATCTCCTGAACCAAGGAAGGCATGGGGACAAGGAGCAGGGCAGGAGCATCTCATATTCTTCATTGCTCAAAGCATCACTGTTCTTTCAGATTCCGTCCATCGCTGCTTTGAAGGCTCCTGTGGGAAGTCGCAGAAGCGCGCCGTCTGCCATCCCTTGGTCTGCGACGAATGCGTCAGGAGCTCGGAAGCTGGAAACTCTGGGTCCTGCCAGCATGGTGCATCAAGCTTGCAAACTTCTGACCCCAATGCCGATGGGCCAGGTGCAGAGCCAATGTACCGACAACAAGCTTGCCCCGAATCTGGAAAGCGCTTGAATTAGCAGACTTCATGCCTGTGGCCTACGAGTACCTGATCCCTGAGCTGCCTCAGAGGTACATTTGACGATCCGGTACTTGAGCCGTGCAGATGAGGACATCCACAAGCGCCGGCCTTGAGCTATTCATTCGTTGGGCACACTACAAAGATTCTTGCCTTGACATCAGAAACACCCGCACAGCCAGTCGTACATCCGTCTCTGCTTGTGAGTTCTCTACATAGCTGAAAAGGGGAGGGTTTGCAGTGTTGTGGTGTGCATCCTGCCAGTGGAAGGGTGGCGAGGTTGTCACTTGTCTCGAAGAGCTAAAACAACAGCACGTCAGCAAGTGACATGTCTGCAAGAGCATGCAAGAGTTAATGCGCGCGACACACAACACCTGACAAGCGTCAACAATCGCCAGCAGCGGCAGCAGCAGCAGCAGCACAAATCGGCACTATTTGGATTCCATGTTCCCTCCTATCAGGAAACTCCCTGCTGAATCTCGCATGGACTGCTTGAAGCCGCGAATCTGAGCGCCAAGCCCCCCTACACGGGCCAAGCCCTACACCGGCTCATTTGCCATGAGCCGAGGAAGCTACAGCATAAAATTCTTAAAGGAGTTCTGAAACCACTCGAAACATGCAACACGCTGTTGTGGCCAGGAGCGTTGATCAAACTCCACTCACTTTTCTTCCTCCAGTTTCAAACGGCGACCGTCTCGAGTCTGAACTCTAAACGCTGGTGATACCTCGCTGTACCGCTGATCGATCGCGAGCACCTTCCCTCCTTCACCAGCTCTTTCCTCAGCAGACAAGACGGACCACAGGCACGAATAGTTCTGCATAGATCTGCATTGCAGCATAAATCAATACTCCCGAACAGTTTTCTAGATCTGCCCTGCTGTTTGCGTGGAGACTGGAAGGCGTGTAAACATTTCTGACTGCATACTTGCGAGCATGTATACACATGCTAATAGATCGCATGTGTTATCTTGATAGCGCATATATTCCGGTCGAAATGCCTACAGCGAGAGGGGTGACCTTTTGCGTAGCGCGCCCAAGATGTAGCACGGCCTGGTTTGCAGGATCCAGCTCTCCACAATGCAGTCGAGTATGTGGAGGCTCCAATTTGCATCAGCATGGGCTCAGGCTGCCAAGCACACAACTCGCCCTTTTGTTTTGTTCTTCTGTCGACCACAAGCTTTGGCGAAGGACAGTATTGCCAGCAGACGCTGCAACCTTGTCACAGGTTCTCCGCGTCTGTTCTGACAAAGAGCCTGACAGCGCCGTCTGTGAATTCAGGAAAGCCACCCCTAGGGACGAACGCACACAGGCGTCCGAAAGTGTTGCGCCTTTTGGCGCGACAGCATTGCCTCTCTGCATGCACGGTCACGCAAAGGTGATTTCCTCAAGGCAGTTGGGCTGGTGCCCAGCTGATGTTGAGGTTCTGTACAAGAGTTCAGGCAGAGCGAAGAAAAATTGATCAAAACTGCTCAAACTGATCCGCATCAAATGCAAAAGCCCATCACTCTGGACTGTATCAATTCATTCTAAGCAAGCGACTGTGCACTTCTATCACTTGAGGACCGAAGTTCTCATGCCTGGCCGAGGAGTGCGAGCGGGCTATCGCCAGCACCATCACTGGAAGCTTCTGTGCTGGCCTCCGCATCTGTGCACTTCCGCTCTAGCTTGGACACTTCGTTTTCATCGTTGGCCGAGCTCTCACCCGAATCGGCGGAGCTCCCTTTGGAGCCGCTCTCGGAATCGCTCTCGGACTCGCTGTCCGATCCAAGGGCAGCGTAGCGGTTACCCCGGATGTTGCCCAGGACAGAAGCCGTGTCCCTAAGCCATGCTCGAAGCCCCAAAACGTTGGCCACAATGTTGGCAGCTCGGCGCAAGCCCATCAGATTCCCTGCATCTGGACCAACCTGGAGCGATGCCAGGGCTCCAACCACGAAGAGCTGTTTGCAGCTCCCCCATTGCAAGTCCTGCGATATCACTGGAAAGCCGCCAATGACATCTGTCGGAAAATTCTCCAGCAACTCGCTGATCAGCGGCAGCTTCCGACAGTCCGGAACATGGCCACAAGCATTCACAACGAGGTCGAAGCGCCTCATCTCGCTCCCAAGCTTTACCTGAACACAACCTGACAAGACGGTGTCAAGCTGCGCATCCACGCATTTCAGCTCGACCTCACCTCGAGCTTCTGCTTCACGGAGTTCCTTCATGTACATTGGTGGCACGCTTCCACCGACTCGAGCTGCCTTGATGTGCTTCAGGCGAGATTCGAGCGGTTGCTCGAAAAACTCAAAATGATGACGGTATGCTACACGTCGGTCAAACCATGTCGGCTTCACATCAAAATGGCGAGTGGTGAGCTCCCGCCGACTGCAGAGTGTCACTCTGCAACCTCTTTTGATGGCAAGCTGCGCTGCCTGCACAGCAGTTAGACCTCCTCCAATCACCAGAACGTTCTTGTTTCCCTTGACTTCCTTCAAGCGAGAGCCCTGATGAAGATCCGAATGGAACATAAAACGTTCAGGCACGCCATCGAACTCAGGCAACACTCTGGCTGGACCTGGCACTCCCACTGCCAGCACAATAGCTCTGGCTCTGAGCTCTTTGCCATCAGTCAGACTGACTGTGAAGTTTCCATCGCTGCCTCGCACACTTGCGGCCATCCCACGAACGAATGTGTGAGGCAAGCGTGTTGCCAAGTCGTTGCAGAAATCTTCAAAGAGTTTATTAGATGGCAGATGCCAGAGACCAGTGTGGGTCTCAGCAAGTGCACGGAGCTCCTCATTGACAGCTCCTGAATCTAAAAGCTCATCTGTGCGACCATGGAGTGTAGCATAAGCGAGGAGGCTCCTTGCATCAAACAGATCTGGGTGGGCTCCAGTCGGTGATCGCAGCCACCGAATGTCCAAAGCCTTAAACCTTTTATGCCAGGTGCTTATCCATGGCTCTGGATCCACAACACAAACCCGTGGACCACGCCTCTTCTGGAGGCCATGACCGTGACCGGCTCGTGTAGTCTGATCTTCAGACAGCTGGTCCGCTGAATATGGCTCAATGAGAGCTGAAAGAGCCGCCAGACCGCCTGGCCCGGCGCCGATGATGCAGGCATCGAAGTCATTCTGCTCCATAGCTGGCCACCGGCCGCCGCCCCTCCTCTTCCTTGAGCATAATAAGCTCCAGGCAGCAGGCCGAATGATCCGACATCAAGTGCACCTAGATAGACTTTGCCAATCATGCACTTAGAATAGATGCCTGACCTTGAAGGTGGCGTGAAGCCAGGATCCCGTCAGCAAACCTGCAAAAACAAGAACATCACCGCTCAACGATGATTGGCGCAAGTGTCGCGGCCAAGCAGCAGGGGCACAAGTCACCAGCATCGCCACTTCTCTTGACAATCCAGAGTCACCTTTTTCCCAGGACCAGCCTTGGCACCAGGCTACACAAAACCTCACAAAACTACACCCGGACTATGCAATGCTGGAGATTGCTAGATAAACTATGAAAAATACTCTGGATGTGCGCAGCGGGGTGTGATGGACTGAAAATCTGAAGACCGCATGTCTTCTAAATGTGCCTTTAGCAACCTCCAAGACAAAATTATGCACAACTTGCACGCGCAACCCAAACTTTTGCAAGCTTACGCGACGGTTATGTGCGCAGGGAAACAACCTATATGGACCCGGGTCTGTGGTAACCGACCTTCTTTCGAACTCACACATAACATCTTCTTCTAGCAGTTCAAAGTTCAAATCAACAAGCGCAATTTGCCGCTCATCTACTGTGCTCCTGCAGTTGAAGCATCGCTCCGATTCAGATTGCGGCCGCTACGCATCAACAGCTCAGTTACTCTGGAACGGTCGAAACCTAAACAAGACTCACAGTGACTCACAGCGAGTAAAGTGAAGAGTTCAAGTCCAAGCCCAAGCCAAGAAAATCAAGCAGGTGAATTACAACGGTAAGGATGTACGTCCAATAACAAGGGGCACTTCCCTTCTCACACTACGGCACATACCCTTGTCTTTTCCCTCAGAGGCAATTCCCCGCTCCCATGCCTTTCAAAAAAGTTGCTGGCCGTGAATTCAGGATCAATAGCATTCCACACCAAAACGAGGTAACCAGAAAGCAATCCCTTACGACGGATGGACATGTTTTGCTACGATGTCCTTTTCCACGCAAATTGAAGCAGCTGAAAACCTGCAATGGTGCTAGGCTCGGTCTCAACAGGCCGCTTCGACTAGACAGGCACGGAGCATGGAAGTCCCAAGAAAAAGGCGCTGCCAGAATTTGTACAACTGGTACTATGGGAAGTCTCACACAAATGGATCCTGCATCTAAGACATGCGCTAAGCGTCTGCGGCATTGCCCGGTCTCAGGAAGGAATGTACAACTGCACACGTGGCTCTGCAGTTCACAAAAGCCCCGGAGCGGGGAAGCTTTAGCAATGTACAAGAAGCTGGATTTTGTCTGGGAGACTTTCCAGCCCAGACTTCATTGGTGAAAATCTGGACTCGACCTGCGACCTATCCTGATGCGCTGTCAGCGCGCCAAATCCGCAAAGCTCTTTGCGGACCCTCTCCAACACTCTCATGGTTGAGGCCCAACCTTTGTTCACTGGCTCAAAGATTGTGAGCGACCGCGCAATTTATGTTTCTAGCAGCTGTCCTCAGCTATTGGTAGGCTATCTAGTACGCCTGGTGCTTGCGATGACCGCGCATGCCATTATTGACTTACTATGGGCCAAGCATGAAACTCACTATCTCCATCCAACCAAAGCGGCTCATCTGCAATTCGATGTAGAAATGCACGCTCGTTTCTTGACAAATTCGAGGGCAGCGTGATGTAGCCGTGAAACGCCTCGTCCTCATTGCAGGGCAAAGTCAAGCTCAACAAGCGAAGAATCCTGCGCCCACTTTGTAGACATCCAGGCCAAGATTTGCCCCGGCCAGGACAAGGGTTTTAAGGGATGTTGTTAGCCGGCGCCGTCCACTTGTCACCTGTTCGGGATGTCCAATAAAGGCCATAGCGGGCAACACTTTTTGGGACCGTCCTGAGTAAGTCGCCGGATGGCGTCCAGGTGCGCACGTAGCGATTCCTGATGAAACATCAATGTAAAGTTACACCCATGGTTCGGCACACGTTGACAAGACCATTCTCGTTAAAGCAGCGAAGTGTAGGCAAGAAGGGCACACTGGAGAGTAGAAAAGACTTGTGTAGCTCACGGCACCTGGTACTGCGGCAATCAACCCAAAAGGCCTGCATGTTCATTCGCTCTTTGGCGCTCTGGGCCCGCAGGCGCGCCCTGCGGCTGGCACTCGGCTCCCCAGATAAGGCGGGGACGCCTCCAAGGAGCTGCATCACGACGAAGAATTGGTAATGGACATACGCGTCGAGACTAAGAATCGCAGCAAACTTTAGCTTCGACAGATGCCGTGTATTGTAGTGCCGACGCGAAAACTTAGAGCAAGCATCGGCTGTTTCGCTCGGTGGTGTGAACTGCTTGCTCAGGGGAATTGCACATTCACGCTTTCCAAACTTCGAAGATCTTTGGCAACCTTGCAAGGCCTAGGCCAATGCATTGCAATTAAATCCCCGAACTGGGCCTTTGCGACTACAGTATCAGAAAATGAACGACCCAAACCTCAAGGGCAGTTTCGCAAAGGCCTACATGCGACAGATGCAACCATCAACGCAAGAGCCTGGCAGCTACTGTATGAACCTGCGCAGTAACACATCTGGCAAACGAAAACAAAGGGGCCCTCTCTTTCCCACAGTTGCTCCATCGACTCTCAAGCTTCTTCTTCTTCTTGCTTCCCCTGGCCAAGTGCACATAGCAACGTCCTTCTCGCTGACATAATATACATCGTTTGATTTGATTTTTGTAGTGAACTACATCAGTTAGTACATCGAAGCCACCTAGTTGATCGTAGACTTCTGTCGGTGGTGTGTCTCCCGCGGTTCCATCTTGGCAAAATGACCAGAACCAGTGAATCCGTTGGTGAAGTGACGACGGCGCGCCAGCCAGCAAGGTCTGCAGACCCTCCTCCATAGAAGCCCCCCGCCAGAATTCACTGAAGACCTTTGTTAGCCTCCACAGAGCACGCACCTTGCAGATCTTGGATATTTCTTCGCTGCTCAGCTTTTCAACATAGTCTAGATGATTCAGCGACGTTGACTCACCAGCACGAAACGCATCCAGCACGTCGACGGTCGCTCGCTCAAAGACCTCCTCCAAGAATCGCTCACGTTCCTGCGGATATGATGTCTGGCAGAAGTAGAAATCCATCTCGACCTTAGTCATTGCAGGAAAGAGGAAATATGGCTGAGGAACAGTCGTGACTAGAACTGAACAATGTGCAATGATGCCCTTCTACTTTCGCCGGGCACCATTGTGTCCACAATGGCATCCATACTGCCAACTCCTGCGGGTAGCACGCAGCAATTACCGGCTGCTTCCAATGGCATGCCAGCATGTCATGTGGAGTCACGTGGGCCAGCTGAGTGGCATCAAGCACGCGCCGCAAGGCGCCTGACTCAATGTAGCTGCTGCAGAGCCGGCTGTCGCTGCGCAACGGCAAACCTGCTGCGACAAAAAAATGCCTCCATACGCTTCCCGCTGCATCTCGTATCTGCCCGATACTCTGCTGTTCTTTTCGAAAGCTTTCGGATGCTTTCGGCCTCGCTTCTGCAGAGCAGCACTTAGACGCTCTCGGCGGCCTGCAGCATGACTCGAAGGCTTCTTCTCCCAGAGCGTTACTCACCCAGATTTACTCAGCACTCAGCACCCCCCGGGGCGAATTTGAGAGCAGGAAAAGTTGGGCCTGAGCGGGCCAGCTCCTTGCAGGAGGATTGGCACACTGTTACGGGACTAAGCTCAGCCTAAGTTTGCCCTTGTGTCAAGCAAACCTGGGCTTCAGGAACCAGAGCCCAAAGTGTCGATTCAAAAGAAAACGCGTCCTGACCACAGCATCTGGCGAAAACGGATCGAAAAACACCTTTGACGGGAGCAAGCGACAACGCGTCCGCGCTCGCCGCTTTCCCTGGCCTGGCTCGACTGCGCCACAATTCTCGCAGCAAGCTCTTCTCCAGTAGGTTTCAGCCTTGTACTTTCGCAGCGAATAACCCAGTGAAAAAATGTGTCAACTTCTGTTGCTCTCCTTGCCCACTTGGGCACTTCTGCATGCCTTTTCAGCTGAGTCACATGGATGGAATGCAGATACCGAATGCTGGAGGCATCCAGTGCTGCAGCAGCAACTGGCCCCAGCAGCTCAAAGAGCTTGATGATGATATCCAGCTCCAAGAGACATTCGAGGCTCATGGCTCTTACAAGTTGCTATCCTAGTTGTTTGAGCTTTAATTGGTGTTCAGTGTACGCATATGACGGATCTGGCGACCAACAGCCATCCCTTCTGCGATTTGGGCCAGATATCCACCCAGCTATCCCAAACTAATGCATAGGCTTTCTGCCCAACACCTGCTGAAAACAGCATGCAAAGAAGTACAAGACCCCATGATCTAAGCTCTGCACGGCAATGGTTTTATCATCATCTGGACTGGCCTCATGAGAGATCATGACAGGCTACACAGGACTTGGTGCAGTGCTTTCACTTGTCCGTACACGTGTAGAATCCGTCACTAGCAACAAGTAGCCCCAAGACCCATCAGCTTCACAGCCGCAAGCCAGCACCCGCAGCAACCACAGGAGAGCTTTCCCTTTGTCCCATTTGTCAGAGATGTCAGAGCAGCCCGGGTCAGGCATCTGCTATCACAGCACCTGCCAGGCTGTCTCAGACCTAGCGGAATACTTGTAAGAAGGCGAGGTCAGCTTAGCCGACCCACCATACAGAGAATATCCGGGGCGGGTGAAAGGGGGCTTCGTTTAAAAAGCAGCTGCAGCTGCTTCGATCTCCGATCAAAGCAGCACGAGCGGCCCTTTCAGACCACTTTTGCGTGCCCCAGTAAATAGAAGTGTACACTGCACAGAGTAAAGCAAAGGAAGACCAGTCTGAACTCTGAGCTGCAGGGCGTGTTGACGCCTACAGCCTTTGGCCTGCGGCTTGTGACCTTTTGGCAATGGCGTCAGTGAGGATCTGCAATACAACTAGCTTGGAACACATGCCGCCCGCAGTCTTTCGCAGGAAGATTACAAAGGCACTGCAGCTCCTTGATGACCTAAAGGCAAGGAGCTGCAGATGGCTAGGCTGACATCAGAGTTTTATCTGAAGCGCCTGGCCATCACCAAAACCACGCCTCAGTCTTGCTGACTTACACGCAAGTGCGACCAAAAGGATGGCACAGTTCCCGCTTGCGCTGGCGGCGCAGAGCAATGGAGCCAAGGAGCCCAGCAGCAGCGGCCCTGAGCAGGCGCCTCGGCAGCGGGCTTCGCCGGCTTCCTGAGCTTGGGTCACCAGACTCAAGCAAAACAGGCTGGCGTTTTGCAAGCAATGTTTTTCGCGGCTCCGGCTTTCAGCACGTGTCAGCTTTCCAAGTACACCAGCTGCTGGCTGAGTAGCGTTGGCTTGCCCTTAGTCCATGATACTGGAGAAACAGGACAAAAGCTAGAAAAGCTGTCCTCTGCTAGCTAGCCTCTTTGCTGCTCGACGGGCGCTGATGCGGCAAGCCCTGCTCTGAGCCGTCGGCCTTGCCAGCACGAACCGGACCCGCCGCCTCAGATGGCTGGGAAATCGCCAAGGACTCCTGGAGCAGAGGACTTTCAGATCACCTATGGCACTGCCTCAAACCGATGACTGCAACGGTCCTGGTATTTCTTGGCTTGCCA